TCTGTCTGTCTGTCTGTCTGTTACGCTTTCCCGCTTAAACCTCGCAACCGATTTTGATGAAATTTGGCATAGAGATAGTTTGAGTCCCGGGAAAGAACATAGGATAGTTTTTATCCCGGTTTTTGAAACAGGGACGCGCGCGATAAAGTTTTTCTGTGACAGACAAAATTCCACGCGGGCGAAGCCGCGGGCGGAAAGCTAGTACCTAATAATAACATGTTTTGCTGCAAATTGCTCACGTGCCGGCAGTATATCGCGGCTTTTATGCATCGCCCGCAGAGACAGGTGCGTGGTAGTGCTGGCTTGGATGTGCATTGGGAAATTTATCGATATCGATAAAGCATAGGAGCTACAACTCTGATTTTAATGTGCTCTATTGGCTCTACTAAATACCTAAAGGTAGCAGGAAGGCGCTGGATACAGGCCGCTACCAACAGTGCCATGTGGAAATCATTGGGGCCTCCCTCCCTATATTCAGCAGTGGACGTCCTGCTACCTTATAAAGCAGAAAGGCGCTGGGTACAGGCCGCTATCAACCGTGCGATGTGGAAATCATTGGGGGGAGGCCTATGTTTAACAGTGGGCGTCCTGTGGCTGAAATGATGATGATGAAGATGATTGGCTCTCGACAAAAGTTTGGTCTCTGGTAAGTACAGTAAATTAGAAATTTTGTTGGTATCATCATCATATCAGCTAAGTAAATAGTAGCCTGCTTGTCGACGTAAGTAATACTAGTAAAAAGTATGTAAGTCTTTCCAAAGTAGGTAAATAAAAATAAAGGATATACTACAAACCACGATTCAGATTAATTCAGCGATCAACATAAAAAAATTAAAAGTATTTTATTTGCCTACAAAAATTTAAAAACAGCATGTTCTTTCTAGCGGCTGCAGCTGCACTAAGCTGTGCTTTACGATTCAAGAATGCCTTTTCAGCTGCCATAAGTAACACAGGTTAACAATATTGGTAAAAAAATATTGAGTACACACGGTACAAGACTCTTAATAACTAGAATTTTTTACTTAAATTAAACAAAAAGTAACTGTAATAAACACTGTGAAGTCTTATGTAGTTGCTATTTTCCAACAAAAATATATGATTGACATGCGCATCCAAAATAAGCTTTTACAAATGGTTTGACTGTATTTTTCAAACGGCTTATCTATTCTCGTGGATGAACGAGTTGATAGTTTATCGACATCTACAAATATCCACACATCACTAGCCGATATAAGATAGCAGATAAATCTCAAGCCGCTCCGTTGCTAACTAGCATAGCGTTCTCGTAATTTATTGTTACTGAACTCCCCGCAAAGTCCACAGTCACAAAACAGATAGTAACAGAAGAAATTACATTGACCTGAACGCGTCAAGTCGGAAAGACCTTGTTTTCTGTGGCCAACGCACCCGTACACAACCTTGAAGTTGCGGTGACAACCAAAAAGCGCTTTAAAATGCTCAAAAACAAATCACATTCTCTAGATTTGACTCTCAACTACATTATAGCTCTTTTTCCGATTTAAAAAGTAGTTCAGGGACCTGATATTTGAGGAACAGTCGAGGCAGAGTCCTTTTTAGGCTTTTTTGGAGAGCCTGATCATGTTCACGTTCTTAAACTTAATGGTGAACTTAAATGATTTTTGGTTTGGTTTGGAGTGATAGTTAGGTATTATTTAAATTAATTCTGTACCCCCAGTGAAAACGGAGTTAAGTCGAAAATGGTGATTTTTGGGAAATCGCATTTGAAGTTAAAAAAAATCCTGCTTCGTCGCTATTAGAGATAACTTGGTGAAATATTTTTTAGGTGAAAGGTAATGTTAGATATAATTAGGCAGTGTGCCAGTTTGGGAAATATAGCATGTAGTTTTTTCGTAATTAAATAAAAACCCAGTTATATCGCCATGCACGGCAACTTTACATTCGTGTAAAGTGATGTAATAGGACATAAATCATTTTACACCACACTGAATTGACCACCCGCTAACAAGTGTAAAGTGATACATTTACGAGTCGTACCTCTTGACACAATAAAAAATTGAAAGAAGCCTCCGGTACACTTTGTTAAAAGTAGACATGTATCAATATACACGAAAGAAAACTCAAAATTGGTTCACAAAGCCTTACTTGTATCATTTGGCACAAAAATATTTTCTTTTCTATACGTCGTAGAAACATACCGATTAGATACAAAAATAGCTAATTTTTCAGAGATTCACATTATGTTATAAAGTCAATTTTGATCTAAGTCGAGTTAGATCCCTTTTCACTGGGGGTACAGAATTATGACTCTTCTTATTTTTTATAGATTCCCAACGGACGAGACTTCACGAAGTCTTTGGATTGCAGCGACTGGAAGGCAAAATTGGCAGCCCACTCAGCACACTCGCATGTGTTCTGTCCATTTTCAAGCTGGTTGCTTTCAGAAAAAGCAGCAGAAAATGTATTTGGCAAATTATTCAATACCAACATTAGCCGTTCATGTAAGTTTAGAAAGCCTCAATGCATACCTATGTAAATAATAACGCTTTTAATTTACTATCTCACAGCGTCGCGTTGGGTCTTCATAAATGACCTCGAGTATACTTACTATTTTTGTTATCTTTATTCAAACATTTTTTTAGTTATTTAGATATAAAGTTTTTCCTGTATCAATTTTATTTTGCAGGATGTACCAGTTCATTGTGACAAAGCTTCATCTAGCGAAACTACCGAAGTTTTACCCATGGAATGCGATATTCAAGCAGTAAGTAATATCTTGTTAGATAAATAATTTTACTAGGTGGAGCTTGAGAAAATATTTTCTTGAGTTGCGGTCTTGCGAATCCCTCAACTTATTTCATCTTTTTTTATTTTGCAGTCAAATAATCTAGCAGACACGATGACACCAAGAAAGTTAAAGCTGACAGTGAATTTACAAAGAAGAACGTTAATAGCTGAAAACCGCAAGAAAAAAATAACCGCATTGAGATCAAAGACTCGAAGACTTGTAAAAAAAATGCAGAATTGACTGATATTATAGAAAATTTAAAAACAAAGCGATTCATCAACCAGGAAGCAGCGGATTTACTTTCTGTGCTTAATAATGCCTCGGACTTCATTACGCCAAACAAAAGTAAATTTTCACCCGAAGTGCGAAAAGCTTTAAATCTTCATTTCATCAGTCCACGCGCCTATAATTATGTGCGCCAGCATTTTAAAACTTGCCTGCCCCATACACGTACATTAGTACGTTGGTATTCAACTGTAGATGGTGAACCAGGACTTTCATCTGAAGCTCTTCAAACTATAGAAAAAATTGCAAAAAATAATATTTCGAAAAAACTGTTATGCAGTTTGTGCTTTGATGAAATGGCAATAAGAAAATGTGTAGAGTGGCTGGTAGGGCAAAAAAAATGAGACATGTATAGGCTCCTTAGAGCATTAATTGACAATTTGTAAGTACTAATTTCATTAGTGTATGTATACAAATAAAGATAATTTTGATTTTATTTATCCTCTAATCAGAACATTCTGCCAATAATAATATTTGAATCTGCATGTAATAAATATTTTTATTTTTAAATGATTTTCGTTTTATTCCTGTATGCCTATTATATTAAATGATTAAATGTTGTCAAATCTTCTCATATTCATATTAGGATAAACTTAAAAATTGGGGAGTTTATTTTCAAACATGGCTACCCCAAATTTTGAATGTACTCTATGTCTGTCTCACAGGGGTGTACGCGGCTGACAAGTCTATTTTATCCTTAGTCTGAGAGAGCCCCCCGTCGATTAAGTTGAATGTTGTGTAATTTGCATTTCGTTGATTTCGTTTATTATACAGTGTGAGTCACGTTAAAGTGTACATATGAAAATAGATGAAACTAGACCTATTTTTATCGACAAAAAACAAGTCAAAAAATTTTTGAGTTTTTTTTTAATTTTTTATAGAATTTTTTTTCTTCCTTTTACTTATTGTAAAGAAAGCGTAATAACTTTTAAACTAAGCGGTATATCCTGATAAAATAAAAACAGTAATAATGCTAAATAGCAGGCGATACTAAAAAAATACATAAAATACACAAAAAAGGCCAACAAATAATAAAAAATGAAACTTTTTGAAAAAAAAACTGCTTTTAAATTCGTGTTTTTTTGGTTATTTGATAAATTTCTCCAAAAAATGCCCCTATAACTGGTGGTTTTTATTACTTTGTATTATTCTCTATCGTATTACCTTTGTAAAACCAAAAATTGCATGTCTCTATCTCTATCACAACATTTGCTATGATCGTTTGAACAAAGGCCTGCCACAACATTATTCTCCGCTACAGGTAGAGACAATTTTAATTTTAACTAAAATGCTTATTTTACTTCGAAATCTTTTCTTTTTATTTGAAATCTAACTTGTCTTTATCAAAATTACAAATCTAGAGCCATTTTCAGTTTCGTTGTTAACGAAGCTTTGAATGGCGCGCCCGGAGAGGCTTAGTTCAAACGATCATTGCAAACGTTGTGATAGGGATAGAGACATTCGATTTTTGGTTTTGCGAAGGTAATACGATAGAAAATAATACAAAGTAATAAAAACCACCGGTTATAGGGGCATTTTTTGGAGAAATTTATCAAATAACAAAAAAAACACAAATTTAAAAGCAGATTTTTTTCAAAAAGTTTCATTTTTTATTATTTGTTGGCCTTTTTTGTGTATTTTATGTATTTTTTTAGTATCGCCTGTTATTTAGCATTATTACTGTTTTAATTTTATCAGGATATACAGCTTAGTTTAAAAGTTATTACGCTTTCTTTACAATAAGTAAATGGAAGAAAAAAAATTCTATAAAAAATTAAAAAAAAATCTCAAAAAAATTTTGACCTGTTTTTTGTCGATAAAAATATGTCTAGTTTCATCTATTTTCATATGTACACTTTAACGTGACTCACACTGTATTGTAAGGTTCGCTAAGTTTATGTTATTAAAACAATTCTGATTCGTTGTCCATTTTAAAGGTCGTTGAGTTTATTTGTGTTTAATATCGTAAAAAATGTCGATAAAACGACGACGTTAAATAATTTTGCCACTTTCTACAAAAAGAAGTGAAATCCATTACTATGAGGTCTCACAGTGCGTGTAGACGCACAGGGTGACACACGAACCAATCACAGAGGTCTTTTCAACGCTGTGCGTTTGATTTGATACTTCACTTAAGCAAGCATCGTTTGTGAATACGGGCGTAAGGCTTAATAAAGTTGTAAAGGATATTTAGGACTCAATGAAGTAACCACTGAATCAATTAATGATTTTGGTGTCAGTACAATGAGATTGGAATTTTGAGAAGGACTTGTCTACTTTTTGTCGCGAATAAAATACTTGAACGGGATGGAAAACGACAAGAGTATATTGTAACATTAAAAAAATTAGGGGTTCATGAAATTTTTCATATGTATACTTTTGCGAGAAATATAGCGTTTTTTTCGATGGGTTAAATTTATAAAATAGCACAGTTTTGTTAGCATTAAAGCGTCTTTGAACAGTAGATGTCAGATCGAAAACCACTCAAGTGAAGCCGGGAACAGAAGCTAGTTTTTAGTAATACTCGAAGTTATAGTCAGACAAAGGAAGCTTAGTAAACTGTAATAAATTACTTCTGGAACTATTGTTCAGTCATAATTAAATCATTGCAATACATTACGCACTAATGACTTATTGTCAGCATATGAAATTGGACGGTTAGTTAACGTTTTATTTCATTAATTTAATACATAAATTGGTCTATTGTTCATCGTTAAACTATGACTAAAATGATGATGTTTTTTAAATATACAGGGTGTTTGGAAGAGGGTTATTTAAGTTTACCTATAGGTAAGGTCATTTTGAGAATACCGATCGATACTTGGTAATAACTTTTAAACGTTTTACATAGGTATTTGTTTCAGGATTTAACGAAATCGCCTGAAAGTAATTAGTACAGTATTACGCGTAGCAAATGACGGTCAATACTCAATACACGATGGACATTTCACCGCATAAATAGTGGTTAAGGCTTGCTTCAGACGAGGAGACTACAAATATGTATTTTAAACTTGTAAAAATAGATTGCCTTAGAATAAAATACAGTTCGCGAGGCGTAAGAGCTTTGAATTTGTGCGAGTGGTCACCAAAAGTAGTCAGACAAAAAACTTAAAAATCATTTTTTTTTTCTCTGACTCTACTTTATAAAACGTTAAGGTATTTTAAAAGGTTTTTCAAATTCAGTGCTGTAAATAAAAATAGTTAACTTCTTATGTAACAACTTTGACGCCCCATTTATTATTGCAAATAATTTGTATTTCACAAGTTATAATTTAATTACATTAAAAAGCCAGAGAACTTAAGCTAAGCTTTACCAAGAGCGGAGATTGAGGAATAGAATTTGTAAAAAAAAATAGTTATTTAAAGCAAAAAGTGCCCGCAGTTTACGCTTGACATCACTTCTAAAAATACACAAAAAGAGGTTTGAGAACCTTAGAGAGAGCGAGAGAAATAAAATTGTTAGTTTATTGTTGCTATTTAACATGTGCCAACTGCCACCTTAGCTCATGACTTGATTAGTACCTACTCAGTGTATATGCTAAGGTTGAAGTTATAGTTATGGCTATTAAAATACTTAAGTAAAAGGCGCTTTTTAAAAGCCTATTAGCAGAAAATAAATGACTTTTAACCCGCTCAAAGTCAAGCCGCGGGTGTACACCGAACAACTTTGCGCTCGTTTTGCATTATCCATCGGGACAGTGTGTAGCATGAATGGTGGCCAGTCTTTTGTCGCTGGTTTCGCTTTGTCGTTTTGTCTATGGCGACTAATTCGCCGACTAATGATCTGTTTGGCTCATCCGACAATCAATGAAACTGCGAATTAAATCAGTTAGATCTATTGGCAAATACTTACTATTTTTTAAAGATTTGTTAGCAATTTTCAATTAATTTATCCACACTAATATTATAAAGAGGAAAACTTTGTTTGTTTGGTTCTAATGAATAGGCTCAAAAACTACTGGACCGTTTTCAAAAATTCTTTCACCATTCGAAAGCTACGTTAACCACGAGCAACATAGACTACATTTTATTTTGAAAAAAAAAATAGGCGGGTCCACTATAGGCTATATTTATAATGTAGTGGACGCGGGCGAAGCCGCAGGCGGAAAGCTAGTTCCTAATAAATGTGTACCAATTATTCTAAACTTTTCTAAAAGAACAAAGGGCATAATTCTATTCATAAAAACTCAATTAATTTTTAATCAACAGTAAATTTACTTGGATTGAAATTGAAAAAAGTTTGTTGATTAGCTTAACAAAATAATGAGTTCATTGTATAGGTCTTTAAAATTTGTGGAAGATTCACGTTCTCACGGCTCATAAAAATATTCTTTAGAAATAAAGGGCTATTAATTAGGGCTTGGTATGTAGAAATACTGTCCATCTCTACGACCTTAGATTGAGTTGCACCACCTAACTTTGATCGTAACTATAACGATAACTGGTGTTCCGATTCAAACTCGCACTTTCTTCAAATATTAACTTTATAGTCAAATATTCAATCTAATCAAAATTCACAGTAACGGTAGTTCTGATTATTATCTTACTCATTATCATTATCTTCATACTTTTACTGTCAGGAGTAATATTTACAACTATCTAACCACAGATTAACTTGATTATTGGTGCAATTAATTAATCAAATATGGGTCAATTTTAATCGGTTTATCACATCCTTAGCGTCGCACGTGTAATATAAATAAGTATTTAAACTAAATGATTTACATCATTAAGTACCCATTACTCTAATTAAAAACACATTAACATTCTGAATCATATTTATACTCGTAGTTATAGATTGTATTATCTTNAATTGAAATTGAGCAACTATCCAGCCAACTAGGCGTCACTGCGCGTTGCTAACATTAACCTGTTGTTACTCTGTTACTTTTACTGTTGTAGTACTCATGACCTTAATTCAACATTGCTATAAAGAGGTGGGAAATTAAATCCATTTTGTTTTCAGTTTAAGTTGCCCTGTAGAGCTAAATACGGTATTGGTAAGTCAAAGCTACAAACAATATTAAAATTACTTAGTTTCACAGTAATACTTTAGTTATTTCAATATTTCTGTCTTAAAAAAATTAAATACACATATTTTCTTGATTCCCATGGCTTTTTTAACATTATTTAATGAATAAAATAAAAGTTACTTCTAATGAAATATAATAAAAAACAAAGAAAACGACAAAAGTTATTTTTTTCATTAATTTTTTTTTTTTTATACTTTTACATAAATTATACAGCAACTAAGTAAACAAAACCCAGCAAAAACATCAAATTATTTTAATTTGGGCAGTACTTACACCAATTTGACCTATGTTTTTTCCAAAAGTATGGT